GGGGGCTCCCCGACCCCCCCCGGGGCTCAGCAGCACAACATGGGGCGACATCCCCATCCCCAGATGGCCGTGGGGACAGTGGGGACAGCCCGGCGTTACCTTCCACGATGCCCCAGGGGTAGAGGCGCCCGCGGACGCGCCGGCCCTTGGCCTCCACCACCGTGTTGCTGCCGATGACGGCGAAGGGGATGCTCTCCTGCAGGAGGGCGTGGGAGAGACTGAAATGTCGTTCATTGTCTTAAACGTTGTCAAAATCATAGAATCATAGAATCAGCCGTGCTGGAAGGGACCTCTGAGATCATCAAGTCCAACCCTTGATCCACTATCACTGTGGTTCCCAGCCCATGGCACTGATGCCACAGTCAGTCTCATCTTAAAAACCTCCAGGGACGGAGAATCCACCACTTCCCTGGGCAGCCCATTCCAATGGCTGATTACCCTCTCTGGAAAGAATCACAGAAAGGTTCTTTGTCAAACTGCAAAGTGGCCTGTCTGAGGCTCATTTGCACCTTGATTCAGGCAGAGGCACTTCTAATAATTTTAATAACAGGGGGTCAGCAGGGCTCTGTCCTGCCTGCCATGCCCCACATCCCTCCACAGGTATCTCCTCTGCTGTGTCCAGCATCCCTTTGCCAAGATATCTCAAGCTGTGGAGATCCAGGGGCAGTGGCACGAGCTTCTCCACCCCTTCCCCATCCCACCAAGCTGTGGGATCTTGGCGATGTGTCCGGGTAGTGTGACAGGTACCAGCCCCTCCACACTGGGGCTGCTGCAGAGCTTCTGTGGCCCCAAAAACTCCTGCAGGTACCCCAGGGGGACGTGCCCTCCCTGCAGGGCTTTTGTGGCCCCAAAAAGTCCTACAGGCACCCCAGGATGATGTGTCCTCCCAACCATGGGGCTCTGCCCCTCCAAGGAGGGAGCTGCAGGAGCCAGACCCACCTTTAGTGCCTGGTCCTGCAGCTTGAACTCCTCATCCTCATCCGAGTCGCACTCGGGGAACTGGTAGATGCGGATGCCGTAGTGGTCGATCTCCTCCCTGATCTGGAGGCAAACATCTCCCTCAGGGCAGGGCTCCGGCCCTCGGGAAGGGGTGAGAGACACCACACAGTGCCAGTATCCCCCAAAAGCCTGTTCCCCCCAGATTAGGTGTCACAGACACCCCTCAAACCCTTCCAGCCCCCAGCTGAGCCCCAGGGAGATCCTGGGTGGCCACGGGGTCAACACGGTCCTCCATGGAGAATGCTCCTGGGCAAAGTCCAGGCAGGAGATGGGCAGAGCCCCCAGCCAAGCGGGACCCCCAGGGCACCCCCACGCCCAGGGACCCACCGGGGTGGCTCCAGGCCGGAGCGATCCCCCCTCACCTTGTTCTTCATGCGCTCCACCTCGGCGGGGGTCAGCGTGTCCGCCTTGGCCAGCACCGGCACGATGTTCACGCGCTGGTGCAGGGCCCTCATGAACTCCACGTCCAGGGGCCGGAGCCTGCGGGGGGAGCCTGGTGAGCCCCACCAACCCCTCCCCAGCCCCCCAGCCCAGCAGTGCCCCTACCCGTGGCCGAAGGGCGAGATGAAGTAGATGCAGCAGTGGACACGGTTGTCCTGGATGTTTTTCCGGTTGAGGCCACTTTCGTCACGGAAATACTGCTCGAACTGCTGGTCGATGTAGTCGGCCACGGGCTTCCAGCTGCGGGGACAGTGGGGTGACATCGAGTCCTCTGTGGGACTTCCAAGCTTTCTGTGGACCCCTGGGCTTTCTGTGGACCCTCGGCTCTCACCCATCCCGCCCCTCGTGCCGTGCCCACCCTCTTGGGCGAGGGTGCAGGGGGAAAGAAAGGTCCTGCAGCCGGTGGTGACAGGCCTTACTGACTCCAGGCTGCTGATTTCAGGTGAGAAATACGGTTAAGAGATAACCTGATGCTCCTTGTGTGCCATTAGAGCAAGTATTAATTGATGTTATGTCCTAGAGGATTGGTATTAGGTACTGGAACATTCCTGTGTCCAGGAGGATCCAGTGGGTTGCACATATAACTTAACATTATACATCTAAGTTAAGTTATATGTATATATATATATGTGTGTGTATATATATATAAAAGTCAACAGTATACATATAAGTTGTTACATGTGTATATATATATATATATATATACACCTATAAGTCAACATTATACATATAAATTAAGTTATATGTGTATACATATATATATACACACTATATACACTATATATAAACACACTATATATATACTACATATATGTATGTATGTGTATATATATATAGATATATATATATACACTAACTTGTACATATTGTATGTAAACTAAGTTAATTTAGTTTACATATAATACTTATAAGTTAACATTGAGTAGATTTTAGTCTGAACTGTTGAATTAATTCCTAGAACATTCTGTATCTGTTCCTCGTGCCTGGATCTGTTGTTGTCTTGGCTGGCAGTTTATGGGGTGAAGCACGAAAATCGATGTGGGTCGTGCACACAAAGGATGTGAGATATTCCTACGTGGGTAGTGTGCATAAGGTGGGAAATAATTTAGTGTAAAGTAATACATATTATAAAATGTGGGCTCCCTTGGAGCACCCCCAGGGACTCACCACTCGGTGTTGTTGACGGCGTCACCGAAGCCCGGCGTGTCCACGATGGTCAGGCGCAGCTTCACCCCCTTCTCCTCGATGTCCACCACGTGCTTGGTGATCTCCACCGTCTGCGTGATGCGCTCTGGGGTGGCAGGAGACACGTCAACGGGGGGGACACCACGGGCAAGAGAGGATGGAGGTGACAGGACAGGTGTCACCCCCTCCCCAGGGGCTGGGGTGGCTTTGCTGGATCGCTCCTGACACAGGGTGTCCAACTCCATGCCGTGGTCTCCACATCCCCATGGATCCCCATGGATGCCCACCCATGCCACCTGCACCCCAGGACCCCAGCTGGGGCAGCACAGGGGTCTGCTGGGGGTGACATCGCTGTGGGAGCATTGAAGGCCCCCTGTACCCCTATGTCTGACCCCACAGCTCCAGGCTGCACATGCCCCTTCACCCCCAGCACCCCTCCTTGTCCCTGGATCCCTAAGGATGCTCCTGCTGCACTGTGTTCTTTGGCTTTCACTCCAAGCAACGGAAACAAGTGAAACAAACTCCACGAACTCCTGGGGATTTGGGCAAGTTTGGGCCATTTTAATTCAAAAACTGCCTGTAGCTGAACTGGCCCCAGATCCTGACTGCCCTCAGCCTCCTGGATTTGCTGCAATGCCCAACAAGCCAGGGCTTGTTTTCCCTGTGGGGACAAAGCCCCTGTGGGGGGTCCCCGTGCTGGGCAGGGGGGTCCCTGCTGCCTTGGAGCCGTCCCAGGGCCAGCAGGTGGTAGGCACCAGCGCCACTATGTGGCTTCAGTGGGAGCCGCAGTCTGGGCAGGGAGAGGGGCTGCAGCCCCCCAGGGGCATCACGGGGCTCTGCCACCCCCCCGTGTCACCAGGACACCCCACTGGGTGTGACTGTCCCCCCCTCACCTTCGGCATTCAGCAGCTTTCTGTCCCTGTACATGTCCGTCAGGAACAGGCTGTTCACCAGCGTGGACTTGCCCAGCCCGGATTCCCCTGGAACAGGGGGACAAGGATGAGGGGGTGTAGCCAGCACCCCCCACACCCTGCCCCGTGGTGTTTGGGCTCCAGAGTGGGCTCAGCACCCCCCAGCCCAGCTGGGTCCCCCGTACCTGCCACCATGAGGGTGAAGTCGAAGCCCTTCTTCACCGACTTGCGATGCACCTGGTTGGGCAGGGTGGCAAAGCCCACGTACTCCTTGTCATCCTGCGGGCAGAGGGGACGTGGGACAGGGGACAACAAACACCATCACACCTCCTATCCTGGCAGGCCACCCCCCTCCTCCCGCCCCCCAGGCTTGGGGCCATTCCTGCCTTAAACCTTCGTGGTTGCAGGATGGGAACAGCCTCCACC